CACAAACTGAGTCTTTGCCCTTCCATGGGAAGGCAAGGAAGGCACATCCTTCACCAATGCTGCATCCCCAGCAGGTCCTTGGCAAATATTTGCGTAACTAAGGAGAAGGTCACGCAAACACAGAGACAAGAAAGACAACGAGCCATTAGTTCTTTAAGGCAGGTGACGGAGTGAGTGGCGACCTTGGGGCTGCAGCGTCCAAATCCCAACTCTGCCACTGACCAGCTGTGTGACGCTGTATAGGCTGCTGAGATCCTCAGGGCCTCTGTCCTTCCCTTCTGTGTCATAAGACAACAGCAGCACGCAGGACGGAGGACTCAGCAAAGCTGAGCATGGCCATTCCAGTTACACACACTCACTTGGAGCCAGATAACGCCGTAGTGTGGACAGCGGACCACTGCCATCCAAGCACTCAAGCACTGAGTGACATCTGCAGCCCTGAGGCTACGCTGGACACTGCAGAATGTTTCGTTTAGAACCCCCCCCCCGGGCTGGTTCTATCCACGAGATAGAGCAGTGTGCACCCCCCTTCAGCTGTCAGAACCAAATATCTCTTTACATGTCCAGGAATGGGTACAAGAAGTAACACTGTCTTTTTTTTTATTTATTTTTTAATGTATTTAGTACAGAGTCTACAGGGTCTCACTACACAGATCGGACTCACAGTGATCCTCCTGTTTTCTACCTCCCAAGCGCTGGGATTACAAGCGCGTGCCATCACGCCCAGTAAGACTGTCTTTGGTTCCGCCCAATCCTATCGGCAGCCTGCGCCTGCTCACCCAGGTCGTGCCACCCTTACACAACCACAGAACTTCTCTATATGACTTCCACCAGCTGCCTTGGGTTACACTCTCGGAAGGCACTCAGGGGCTTCGAGCCCAGCACCTAAAGGGACATCTGCCAGCAGCATCGGGGTCAGGCCCTTTATGAAGCCAAAAGACTCTGGTGCTAGCTCTGTACTTGAACCTCCTCTGTGACTGTGGCTCTCAGACACCAGCTTTCTCCCCAGAAAGTGGGGACACAATAACAGAGCAGCTCTCCTGGCCACCATGGTCCAGTGTGACTGTGATAACCTGAAAATGCACTGCGCGCACCACAGGGTGTGATCCTCTCACTCAAACCAATCCTATTCTCGCTATTATTATTATTACTATTAATACTTAGAATGAGGCTCCCACTGGAAATCAATATTCACAATAAACAGGAAATAAAATACCTTATAAAAGAATAAGAAGGAAGGAAGGAAGGAAGGAAGGAAGGAAGGAAAGAAAGAAAGAAAGAAAGAAAGAAAGAAAGAAAGAAAGAAAGAAAGAAAGAAAGAAAAGCTTCAAGTCCAGACAGCTGGTCATAATTCACTGAAATCCACAGAACAGGAAAGAGCAGATGAACTTTGTATTCTTCCTCCTTTCCAGGAAGATAACAATGGCTACCAACAATTCTAGAACTGGTTTTTCTCCCTTCTACCTCAAGCAGATGCAGCTTCATATCTTCGGCATGTTTGGTTTTTTGTTTTAGCAAGTTATCCAAAATCACATTCATTCAGGACAGATACCACGTTTTGCATCACACAGGAAAACATATTGATACGTGTCATTGGCAAGGGCGTGGGAAGATGATCACCTCGCTCAGAGCTGGTGAGATTCTCTTTAGACAGGGTTTCCCTGAGTAGTGCAGGCTGGCCTGGAACTCAGCAGTCCTCCTGCCTCAACCTCCCAAGTGCTGGGCTTGCAAGTGCACGCCACCACACCCAGCCCCGCTGGTGAGATTCTAAAACTTATCTGAAATACAAGTTGGGAGCATGTCTGAAGAAAACAGGGCCAGGGAGATGGCTCAGTGGAATAAGTGCTTCCCTGGCAAGTGCAAGGGCCTGAGTTGAATCCCCAGTTCCGTGCCCCCCCCCAAAAAAAAAATCTGCAGAAAACAGATCCCCCACGAACCCACAATTCTGCCTGGAGAAACTTGTTCCCCACTCAGAGGGAGATGCATGTAAAAGCTCATAGCAGAGACACCATGAATTTCCATCAGGGGCTGGATAAATAACTCACTGTGCAAGGGACAGGTACGGGGACACAGCAGAAGAGACAGAACAAGGAAGCCTGGACCATACTCCTATCCGCTGCTCACCAGCTCTGCACTTTCCATTCTGTGGCTTCCTCCACTCTACAGAAAATTGAGAGTTGGGAGGAATAAATTACATCCCTTATGCAAA